GTTTATAGTACGATATGTGCCACATTCGGCAGGATCTTTGATTCTAATTGTAAGTGCTGTTCAATGATGCGCTAAAACTCTAGAAACTGTGATGGAATAAATGCGAAGAATCTAATAGCAAGAATTCCATTTCAGAATAGCCCATCCATGCGTTTCATACAACACGATGCAATACTGTTGATGCGGTATTTGTATGCAAAACTTCATTCAAAAAGTCCGAAAGTCCACACAGCAGTTTTCTTTAGGAAGCGTTCAGAACGTTCTGTTTTTTTTAATCTGATGGGTTTTATAAAGTTCATAAATTTGTTCTGAATCTGCAACCAAAACACCATATGAGATTTTTATCAGGATTATTCGTGCTAATTTGAGAGGATCGGCAACTTCTTTCGGAGACATATAGTGGGAGTGCCATGCTCTACTCATTTGTATTTTTGTAAGTATAATACCACTCTCAGAGGGAACTCCGCGGAACTCCGGCAATTCCGCGGAGTTCCTTGAAATATTGCACATTCTGAGAGTGGTATTGTATTTTAATCGTCGGAGCAATATTTTGATGCCGTGATAGAATGTCATATCCTTAGACGTTCAGGTCAGATAAATAATTATATCATTTGTGCATCTAGAGGACCCATGAAGATTGTGCGCATGCGTGCTCAGCTAGTTGGAACTGAAGCTTTATGGATGTCCCACCCTTCCAAATGAAATGAACGACTTGAAAACAATGATTGCAAGATTTTCAGTTCCATGATGAAGAGAAGCTCTAGCTCAGCTGCTGAAATAAGAGCAACTGCCCTGAACGTAGGCTTTATCCAATAGAGAGTGTCCGGCATCCCGTGAAAATAATCTGCGAAAATTTTTATAGAATAATCTGCGAAAATTTTTATAGAATTTATACAGGGTGTCCCAAAAAAATGTTAACACTGTTTGATCGTTAATAACTCCCTTGCTTTCAAGTCTTTCGCCGAGCTTCAGGTACCATTTTGTAGAGCGAGGACTAACTTAGATTTACAGTATCGAGCGAATCATCTAACTCTCCTCATTACTGTAGAATTACGGTAAGAAATTTGACAAGGATTATAGGCCATTAAAGCCTATTTTCTGCTTTGAAACAGAGCCAAACAAGCCAAAATCTCTTGTACTATGGTAATGAAAGCCGCTGATATCGGATATGAAATTTTCATTTCATTATGATACTTCTTTTCAAAGTTATCCTAGGTAAAGTGTAATAACTGACTTTCCAGCATGTGTCAAAAATGTGATTACACCGTCAAAAAAGCTGAAAACACTCGCAAAAAGTTGTGTGGTAAAACCAGAGTGCGCAAAAACCCTAGTACACGATTTTTCAGATTTTTTGAAAAAATGTTTGTCAGAGGGCATACATTCATGACGGTTCCACATGCTGGAATTTCCTACCGTAATTCTACAGTAACGAGGAGCGATAGATGGTTCGCTCGATACCGAAAATCTAAGTTTATCCTCGCTCTACAGAGTGGTACCTAAAGCTCGGCGAAAGACTTGAAAACAAGGGAGTTATTAACGATCACACAGTGTTAACATTTTTTGGGACACCCTGTATGCGCCCATGAGTCCCTTCACAAGTGCGCTATCCGCGAACGATTCTCTTGGAAGACATTCATTTTGTATTGGCTCTATTGATTCTATTTGAAATGCGATATAGGTGAATGTTATCTTGCCTAAAGTGATTGTTCAATAAAGTTTCGGTCAACTGAGTAGGTGTGCATGAGTCTAACGATAAGATGGCTCGTTACACTATCCAAAGGCTCTTTAAAGCTAGTCTGCATACATACCTACATCGGATGCTCAGATTAACAGAGATGGCGAATAAAGAGATCTTATATACTAGGTATATGCAAAATTAAAGAGCCTTTTTCTGAGCCTTTTTTTCAGGACAATTTTTCTCCGTCAAACTTTTTTCTCTAGTAAAAGTTTTTAGCATACCGCTGAAAAGCTCTTTTCTTGCTCTATCTAACGATGGATGAAACTGGCATCCAGCCTCATTTTCAGAGATTTACAGAGCTTCCAACCAACGCATTCGAAACCACAATTCTATTGCATTTACTTTTTGGGCCACAATACAAGATCGAATAACGGCATTCTTTTGGAAGCTGTTGTGTAATAAAAATTGTCTACGTTATGCACACTTTATTGCTTTTGTAGAAATCATCTAGACTTGGATAATGACGCCTCAACACTCGTATCGTTTTTGGTTATTCTGTGCCCCATAAATTTCTTTGGAAGAAGGCAACCGTCAAATCTTGGCTCATTTCTTTAAGCATAACGGTAGGCCTCCTGTTGATAGTTTCGCAGAAAATCTTAGCTGTTCAGCACGCAGAAAATCAGAAAACTATATCGTTTAGGACTTTGAAGCCCACCAAAAAATGTTGAAGCTGACAGTTTTGGGTTTCGATTTTTTTTCTTTTCGCGAGTCTTCTTTGTCTAAGCCGTTTTCATCTTCATGTGTACCACTTGCTTGCGGCTACAAGATATGCTACTTACCATTTAAACTGGCAAGCCTTAAAGAAATTTATGATTTGTCAAACATGACGTTTTAGGAAACTTTATTTCAATTCATAGTTTCCGCCGTTTGTGATATGAGTGCATCTTAATGTGCGCTATATTGCGAAGCTCCTGCTGTTTCCAAGGGATTTCACCGCAATCTGGATATAAACTTTTTAGAAAGTTATAGCAAGTCAAAGTGAGAGTTCGCAAGACGAAAATGGAATTATTTTTGCAACAGTCTCATATAACGTTTGTCTGTCTTTCTGTATCTAATATGTATGTCCATATGTGTTTTCCGGGAAGAAAATTCCATTTCTGAACCAATCCGGACTAAATTTTGCATACTTGTGCTTCGGGGTGGCGCAGGTGTCGTAGGGCTCTTTTCGCTATCGATTTATATCGATCTTATCGATTTTCTGCAATGTTTCAGCTACCGGGCTGGGAGTTGACCCGGGAATGTAAGTGAGCATGCTGATTGCGAATATATTACTGACAGGGCCGGGCGGAGCCGGGTTTGCCAGCTGGTAATCTGATATGAAAAAGGAGGACTCACCTGGATTTTCTTCGATTTTGCAAGGCATCTATTGTTGCAGAACTGTTTTTCACGAGTTGCATACACCTTTTTAGTGAAAAGATTTTCCACTATACTGGAGCAAGTAAGAACATGCGAATAGTGAAAAAATTGAATATGCTTCCAGATTGTTGAAGTTAGCGAAAAATGGATGTCATTTACATTATCACTATCGTACACCCTTCGATGCCTGAAGGAGTTTCATCAAGATTCAGTCCGATACAATCACTAGAGAACTGTTAGCCTTTTTCTTATTCTCGCGCGAAGGTAAACCTAGTCAAGCGACAGCTTTAGGAGATGCTTTCACGCTGCGCTAATAGTGTTCTGTCTGCAATAAACGAAGGTTACAAAAGTGCCGCTAACTTCCTGAGCTAATATTTGCGTAACATAGGACAAGACAAACAAAGGTTTGGTAAGTCTATACTATTCGCAGATTGACCCATGAGATCGTATTTCCTGTACAATGGCCGAAAATTACAGGAATTGAGTTTGCTTGCGATGTAAGCTGGAAATGCAGGGTGTGAAGTATAATCTCAGAAACCAGTACAGTATGCCCTCACAAAGCATATATGTTTGTGTCCAACATATGGGTTTTTACTACTTTGCTATCTGAAGAGATCTTTGAATCTCTGATTTTTTCATTGTAACTCTTCAATGATTTGTGACTTTGACGCTTTTATTGTATATAACTATAAAAATTTGATGTTTTGCAAAGGTATACTTCAAAAGCTTGAACATTGTCGAGTTCCGTACCATAATCAATTTGTCAATTCTTAGGGTGATGCACTGCAACACTTCAGCAGTCGAAACTAAGAGACACTTTGAGCTAGCCTAAATTTTAACCCCTTTAGATGCTTCCCGAGATGGAAATAGCAATTACCTGAATATGACTCGCGGCATACAAACGCTAATATCATAATCAACTGGTGTCTTCTCACAAAAAAATTTATGCGGACATTCAAAGCATGTCCCCTTATTGTGAAACAAATAAAGTGTGTCATCATAGAACTTGTACAATATGCACAGTACAAGAAATTCATCATACAAGACCCATCGCAGTTTGGAAATATACTCGAACAGGGATTTTGCGAAAAATTGCGTCGCATCATCACATTTCACTCCGGAGTGGACAAAGTCTGAATCCAAGGGCCTAATTTAGCTCGTTTCGGGGAGGCGCTTCTTTTCATAGCGGTGCTAGTTAGGGGACGGTAAGCGCACGATAGATTAGCCACTTTTTCCGTCAGGCTTTCACTTTAGGTTGTTTGCCGCTTTTTTTTGGAGAGGTACTCTCGACGCTCTATCTTCATAACTAATAAATTTTCCAGAACTACTGAGCATTGGCCGATGGCGAAGCTCTTTCCTTAAAGCAAAACTACTTGGAATTTTGAGGACAACTTCTCTGGAGCACGAACTATTGCACGAATCGTGTTCTATTGCACAAACCAGACCTAAGTCATGAGGAGAAGAACAGTAACTTTTCCCTGTTTTAGAAGAATCTTCTTTAAATTTTGTTCAGTAACCTACAGCCATAAGAGATGAGTAAACCCATACAGACCGGAAAAAATAGAAAAAAAACCACTTTATAATTTGAGAAAGCAACAAGCTTTCATAAGAACGATATGCATATGTACTTTGATCACAGAAACAGTTTGTAAGCAGATAGTCTACAAAGTAAAATCATTGGAGTTGTTGTCCTCACAACCATCGAGACAGACTGGCTAGTTCCTTGACATGTAGCAAAAGGAAAAGAAAGAAAAAATGATCAGGCATCTCGCATAGCGCCTACCACTTTGCTTCATACTCTCCTCTTCTTTATATAGAATCTCGGACACATATGGGAGTGACTCCACTATTTTTCCAAACGCCAGATAATGATAAACATGTTTGATACATAAACTGAGGGGACACAATGATGTGGTACATTTTCAATCTGCTTGTCGCCATGGGCGGTGCTTTCTCGGTTAGTTCGCATATTCAGGGTGTGAACTTTTTTTAATTCAAGGATGCTTTGTATTTACAAAGACTATATCGCATATGCAGGTGAGTTCAAGACGAAAAAAATAACTCTCTTAGGTACCAAAAAAAGCTGGACCTGCAATTTGCTCTCCCTCGTATTACATACAAATCGACACAGGTTTGTGCTCGAGGGGAAGGTCGCACTAAATTGATGGAGTCTATTATCTACAGCCGCGCTATGCATCTCGTCTTAAGTTTAGGCTTGCTGTATCAGCTTGAAAGAAACTTTTCCGCCATCACTGAGTTATATCGTAGGAATGATCCTTTGGGTGATTTTTACAATTCCTTACGATTGCTTACGCTAGTAGTCAATGTGCTGGTACACATACATAGATCAGCGGCTGCTAAAAAATGATGCATTACCGTATACCTACCGTGCGCAGACATGCACCCTTGTATATACAAATCTCGCGTAGTCTGCGTTTTTCCACAGCAACCTATGATTCACTTGTACGTCTATATCTATACCAGTGCGTCACCTCTGCTTCGCAGAGGTTGCACTGGCTCTACTATCCGTGCCTTCTTCATGATCGCATATGACTTTGGAACTCACCGCGCGATGCTGAACATCACGAATGAATTGTAAACAACCATTCATCTTTAGAGCTTTTCTATGTAAGATTGGTAATTTTGGGAGAAAAAATTTTCCCACAGAAAAACAAATGCGATTTTGATTGGGTTACTGAATTTATTTTGGCTTTATATTCGCCATAAGGATAAAGACCACTTTGGGCTACATATCTATTCGAAAATCCTCTCAATTATTATAGTAAAAACTTGGAAAATCGATAATTCGCTCAGTTACATCTTTTTGGCGCCAATTTTGTGTAAAAATAGACTTTTTCTTACTTTTTGAGCTGAAGTCAATGTTTTTCGGATTTACTTGCTGAACAAATCCGCGACTTTGCAAAAAGTTTAATTACCGACCCATTTTGGCGGGCCAAAAGTAGCGTGGATCCGTTTGAGTTTTCGATGGTTCTACTTACTGGATCGGCTTGTGATTTTGCAAATTTTACCTACACACTGACAGGGTGCTATGACCAAAATTCTAGATCAAGACGCTGGCTGCAACTCACTCTGTGAATTTTGTGACAGAAAGACATATACACACACACACAGACAAACAGACAGACGCTTAGCGCTTTATTATAAGTCATGATGGATGACCGTCTTTCATGCCATAGCAATTGGAAGGTAGTAGAGTTCTGCGGCTTATCACCAACAAGACCTCCATGCTATTCATTCCATGAAATTGAGGGTTCGGGCAGGCAGTATTAGCGGTCGAGGCCTATCTCGACACTCACATGATTGATGGTTTCCAAATCAAGATTTTTCCTGGATAAAGGTGATTGTTGTGTCATACCTTCATAAGCGGCACCATAATCTGAAAGGAACGCCGTAATTACTTGCTATGATGCGTGGGTAAGGTCCCGCTCATGCAGCAGGTCCTTCTAAGTATGCATGTCAAGAAATTGTGAAGTGAAGTATATTTTGTGACAAAACGACATTATATGCCTCGCATCCGTTCAGGAGTTATTCAAGAGTATTCAGTCATAAGAGGCCAGATTACGATTCATTAGCAACCAAGCAAAAAATTTTGAGCAGAACTTTGAAATTGACAAGATTACTTGCCTTTGGTCAATCTTCATTTATTTTTGTTCAGTCTCGCAAGAAAAAAGACAGCGAATTACTAAGTGGAGAAGGTTTACAAAATCCAACTCGTATTTCACGGCTAATATCGCAGGATAATGTAAGGCTTTTTCTGCGGTTTTGTCGTAATAGGAACACCCAATGAGATTTTCAAGGAAAAGCTAGACACAGATGCGGATCGTGAGGAAGGAAAAGCAAACGAATGTTTAAAGACGCATGAGGTGATATCAGGAATATACTTGGACATGAAGCTCTGGTCGAATTTTGTTCCTCCGCCTAGGTGAGCTGTCAGCTAAAGTGTGTACTGTATAACTTCAAAATTCAGGCCATAACGATCAGCTCGGCCTCGACAGAGATTCAGTTTACTATAGCATCATTCAAATACAATGATTCATGGTTACGTACTTAACTGTAAATGTGAAATTAATAAAAGAAATTAGAAGACTAGCTCTTTTCCGACTGCAACCTTCCCTTCAAAATGTATAAAGTATGAACAGAAGCATAGTAAGATACACTGGAGTAGAACTACACAAAAATTGCATAGTTTTAGGAGATGGCTTCCTATTTTATCGAATGCTACTGCCCAGTAATTGCATGTAGGTAGCTTCGAGCCAAACTTATGTTGACAAATAAAAGTAACTAGTTGCGGTTCCCGGTCCCGCCCGGGCCGAGAGTCCAGAATCGCCCAGCATAGGGTGTGCTTCAAGATGTACACTTACCAGTCCTCCACTTTCTTCAGTTCATATCTTCTGTTCTCTCCTGCTTCACCTCCATGTCAGTTTTAGCGCTCGTGTAGTATCCGTGGTGAATAGTCTTCTTTCTTGACCGGCTCGCTTCATGACACCGCATGCTCCTCACCGCAAAATGTAAATGATCTCTACCACCCCTTACTACTCACTTGGAGAAATGAATGGTATAGCCTTCATTTTCCTAGATTTTAGTAAACAAAATCAATAAATCGATAGGAGGACCCAGCGAATTGTCGAAAAAAGTAGCCTATCTTTTGCGCCGTGGCTTGTTTATAAGGAAACGAAATTCAGCCTCTTTGGTTCACATACAAAGGAGTCTATAAGCCACAAACATCCTAACAAACACGGTACAGTGTTTGAGTTTTATATATATATATATATATATATATATATAGATTGCTCAAGATGGCATGATCAATGCCTGTTCCCTCATCGACGTAAGCAAATGAGTGTTTTTGGCTGGGATAGTAAAACACAACTATAACGTTTATACTAGACATCAGGTTGAGAGAATATTTTTCACTACGCCGTGGCACTCCAGCACTCGAAGTCCGATTCCATAAGGATATTGAGACGATTTGAACGAAATCAAGCCAAAAGAGTCGCATTTCTATTTGTTTCATGTAGCCAGAATGTAGGTTCCTATCAAAGTTAGTGCAAAATTTGATAAGAAAATCTGTTTTTTTTTCCTGACGATCCACCCCTGCACAGACATGTCTGACAGATTATTTTTCTGAAAGATATGGAATTAGACAGACGACAAGATAAGAAAAACGAAGCTACCGCTCTGACTAGATCCATTTCTTCATTTCCGCCACCAAATAAGAAAGGTTTTTACTCCATCCTAACTAGGTTATTGTTAAGATTCGCTTTTTATTCACATCAGAGGCTCTAGCACGGACGATATCGGGGATGCTTTTGGAAAATTACTGTATCGCTTGCTGGAATTGTCTAGTCACCAAAGGAGTAAAGAATTTAACGGCTAGGACCTTCAATCTTTGACAGACACTACAGTCTTTTTGCTACACTTTATCAGAGATGATTCGATAACGTTGGAGACAATGTAATCTTTGATGCGAGATCACTCAATCCAGTTTTCAATGACAAAAAGCGCTCAGAAATGCAGTTGTTAAGTTCCAGACCAGAACCGCACTATGTCTTTTGTGTGGGTATTGCTAGAGACTCAAAATATGTGGAAATTTCGTTGATAAAACTGCTACTCTTCCTTGGTGAAATTCTCTGCACAGGAAGCTGCAAGAACTAACAACTAAGAATTTTGATCTAATCGGTTTCGACCAATTTCAGCTATACGTTCTTGAAAGAAGGATGAATTAAATTGCCTAGAGTAAATGCACTGTCCTGACCCACTTTTACTTACATTATATTCGTGCCCTCAGACGATTGGTATCACTTCGCCATCAAAGGTTCACATTGCTGTCTACTGATAAAATGGATAATTTGACCTCTTTTTGCTGCTCTTGAGTCAGTAGACTTTTATTCCCTATAGACCAAGGAGATAAGATTATCAATTATGTCCTTGGCACTATTTTCGCAGACTCCCATAGTTGTTGATCAAATTGTGCAACACATTCACACTACAAATTCTCCAACCGGACTGATGAACCGTGTCTGATAAAATTATCATCAATATGGAAAAACCGCCAGAAGTTTGTTGTATTCGTTTTTACACTGTATCTACTGAAGCCAGTCACGTAATGCTATCATCTGATTTGGTTCTATTTATGTTTTTGGATGGTTACATATGTCTCAACCAGACTTTCCAGCAAGGAATTGCTTGCGATAACCTGCAAGTGCATTTCGCTTCCTTCTTATCTCGTGAGCTACATTCTAACTACTTTCTGCAATAAAATTTTTTTTGCGGATATTGCTGACTTTCTCACGTCTCATTCGCATCTTTCGCGTTCTGTCATTGAGCTATATTATACCTAAAATTTTTTATTTTAGGCATGTCATTGACCCTATTATTATTACTGTTATTTCATGTTACTGACACATACAAAATCCTCGTTGTCATTTGTCAGGATAAAGGGTTCGCGATTCCCTTACCTGATGTGTAGCGGTACAGGTTGGTATTATATATATTTATTATCTACATATATTACAAGAAAGGGGAAGGGGGAGGACTGACTAAGCAGCCTTACGGTGCGCGGTCGTAGGGGGTCACTGGCTCCTATCTGACCTTCTCGGCCAGCTCACGGGAGAGCAGCAGGCGGAGCTTAGCTGCGCCCCGACATCTCCATTCCTTCAGAAAGCTCGTCCTCGAGCTTGTTCGGCTGTTGTTGAACGTCTTCCGAGTTACGTGTGTAAGTAGTACACGTGTTACGGCGAGACCATAGAGAACTTTGATTTGGGTACCATAATCTCCAGACTGATTGAGTGGAGGAGTTGGCTTAGGCGGATTGGATAACCAAACAGCGACCTTCACCTCATCCTAGGGGTACAGAGTGAGCTTGTCCTCAAGCGGAGAGATATATACGGAATGAACGATGTGACGTAGGGGACTGCTTGGGAGAGGCAGCAACATGTAGTTGTAGGAAGTGAACAGGCGTATTATAGCCGGAAATTGACGAATGGGAAAGTTGGCGTGGAGATTTATAGGAGTATAATGTGACCGGTATTTGAATGTTGATACGATGAAGTTATGGGTTGAAGGGCACTTGTTGTAGAACAGATAATGAAAAAAAAGATAGTGTTGTGAGCAGAAATTACATAGCTAACAAAGTATTGGGCGATATTGGATGATATTAGCAATTCTGAAGTATTTTACATAAAATAGTTCAAGCTACATACGGAATTTTAGGACGTGTGATATAATAAGGTATAATAAGGCACTGCACAATTTAAACTGAGTCATAAAATGAGTGGTTATACATCATGTAAATAATGCAATTGTTTAGAAAACGGAGAGGAAGATTCGGATGCAGAATTGAGCACAACAAACTGTGTTTAATTCAACATAGTGGCAAATTTTGAGTGTTAGAGAAATGGGAAATTTTTTTTCGCTGCCTAGCACAAAATATTTTTTTCATTCTTTGAACTGCCGGTTCAAAGAAATTTATGCTTATAGATAATCGCAGCGGTGCGGCAAAATAGGTGTAAACAAACTCACGTTGAGAAATATCCCGACAGCAGAAAAAAAATTAAAACTCTGACAGTCGGATTTTTTTCAAACTGAGTTGCATAAAATTGTCTTGCAGTCTTGCGACCAAATTCAAGACTACATTCGTGAACAAAGCAAACATGATGTCGTTCATGTTCTGATGTTTCCTTTTTTTTATTGTTTTTGATAATTTTGAGATAGTGCGTTTTTGGAAGCATTAGCCCATTTTCGACATAGACAACATGAAAATGCAAACCAAATTATACAAAATGAATTAGCAGTACATTTTGGTATAGTAAAGTATAAGAATAGAACGTTTCCACTGCAGAAACTACGATATGTAACTTTTGAGTCATAAGTAAAATTCAGCGGAAATGATCCTAACATCATGTGTGGTGATTCACGACTAATTTGTAATTCATGAAAGCTATCTATGTTTCTTCAAGTCCAGATCCAGTATAGAAAACTCTATGGAATATTGTTCCTGAATTCTGCTGAATCTGTAAAGGAATCATTACCATCGTTTTCTAGAAAAAACAGGACTGGGTGACGTGAAACGTACGAAACATGTTTTTTTTCATTGCAAAGAATGAATTTCGGTGCGACAGAAAACTATGCCTTCACTGCTTATTGTGGCTTCTGCTGATCATCTTTCAAAAAATGCGATCATTGCTTTCAATCAGAATATCCATCTGGATATCTCAACATGTTTAGAAGCACTGAGGATTTTTTTTTGACAAACAGCAAGTTTTTTTTTTGTAAAGAGTTTCGGTTAAAAGAGAGAATTGTTCTCTGAAAACAATCTCCATTCAGCTACAAGTAATATTCTTTGAAAATATTCTTAAATGTAGTTCTGAAATGCTACGTTCAACAACGTAATGCAGACTTGGTTTGTGCAATTGCACAAAACTGGAGGAACTGCTATATTCCAATGTTCTTACCAATAGTGTGTCCACTTTTTTTGAATCTGAATACTTTTGCGCATATTCTGGTAAAACCTCAGAGAACATGAAGAGGTCTCATTCAATATTTGAACGAGTACCTCATGATGTACGGAAAAAATTATTGAGGACAAACTTCAATCACATTGAGGAGAATTTATCTCAACTCTCAAATTGAGAAAATTTGAAAATCTCGAAAAAGAAGAATATTCACGTCTGAATATCTCTTTTTTTCACTGCCTCAGTGTGAGAATCAGAATTTTAGATATTTTAGGTTGTGCACTTCTGTTCATCTGTTCTAACAAAAACTTGTATGCTTCGTGTGGAATTTAGACGTTTAGAAGGATAGCTTGTTCGAGCTTTGATTTCTGTCGGTAAATTCAGTGGGGGCGAAAGTTTCATTAGCTATTTATTTTTTTTGTGCTGGCTCTAGTTTAGCGAAAAGCTCAAGTAGTCTTTTAATCTGTAAAGAAATATTGCGAATTTATCATATCGTATAGAAAGGTAGCATTGTTCGGTATGTGGAACAGAATTTGATTGAAAATTTGAGGGTGAGAGCTTTGAAAACAAGTTACTCTGATACATGTCGTTTTTTTTCTAGCAAGACTTTTTCATTAAATCATCTAAGCTTTGAATTGCAGAAAAAAATATGCGATTTTGCATTCAAAACTGGTTCTTCTCATTTGCGAATTTAGCTCGATCATGAGACTGATTGCGTTATGAAGGCTTTGAATCTACAGAACTGTTAGTTCTTTTTTTTTCATTCGAACAGAAAAAAATTCTGATTTTGTATCAAGTGAAATCAACTGTGGTTTTTTCCAGAAAGAACAGATATTTAGCAATGGTTTCAATTGTCAAATCACCCTTCAAAGAAAAAGTATTTTTTACGATGTTTGGGAAATGTAAAAAACTGAATTCAGTGTATTATCCTTTCAAAAAATTAAAATCTTTCATCTCATAAAAATGTATTTTTCAGAATTATAAAAGCGCTGGCAAACAAATTGACTTCAAGGATGCTTTGACGCATGAATAGACCCTATTGGGAAAAATTTGACTTGTAGCCCCTAGAAAAAATTTTGATTTCAAGTTGAGATTCAAGATTCGCACTTTCAAAACTGCATGCGATATTTGATACATAACTGGCGAGGTTTTTTCGATCAAGATCATTTATGTAATTAGTAAAAATTTTGAAGAAAAATATGGAAAAAAAAGAAAATCCTTCTTTTTTTTTGAAATGCAACAACTTATTCCATGTTTTCATAGGTCTGTTGAGCTGATTGTAAGAGCTGAGAGAATGCTATTTCGAAAGTGGATGTGTAATTATAATAAAGGCCGAATAAGCGCTTCTGTAGATTTTTTTTTATTTTGGGCTTCTGAGGTAAAATTCTGTAATATGCTGACGGTTTTTTCAGAAGAAATTTCAAATACGTTTGAACAGTGTAAAATTAATACTAAGACGCATTTTGTTAGAGTATCTCAAATGTGGAAAGCGGTTTGATTTAGTTCAAGTGGTGTTTTTCTTATAGCAAAAAATTCATTTGACATAAGCAAGCTCTGACACGGACAAGATTCTGTTCAATAATGAGAAGAAATTCCTAGCAGTAGGATCTTTGCAAACTATGGATGAAAGGTCCAATTGTTCTTTTCCAGAAGCTCTGAAGAGTTTTCAACTTAAGCAGAAAAATTTATCTCATTGTCAGCGAAAATTTTTTTCTAAATCTCTATTTCTTGTTTAAAGAATGATAATCAAATCAAATTTTTCTCTAAATCATTAAGAGGAAAGCACATGTTTTTGAAAATCTGTATGAAATAATGAGGAGATTTTCTGAAATTTGCATAAGTGAGCTTGTTTATTTTTTTTCTTTTGGAGATAGTACGTAAATATGCGTGCTAAAGCAAAATTCTGGTGCTCCTCTCCTTTCTTTTTGTAAGGTGATTGAGGTGGAAAATGTTTTGTTAGGCATTGGCACTGCATCATGAAAACTTTGTGAGGAAAATACCAGAATCGGTTCAATGCTGAAATTTTGTTAGCGCGCGAAGTTTGAGTTTTTTTTTAAATTTTCAAAAACTGAGTGAAAGTGGTAGTCCTGAGCTGAATTATGCGAGCAGAGTTGTATAGTTGCGTATTTCAGATGCTTGGCTCTACAAATATAACATTCTTGAGGTATATTTTGAATTTTGAATGAAGAATATTTCGGTTTTTTTTTCATTACTCATAAAAATTTCAAAAAAAAAACTGCAACAGCCTGTCTACAATATACATATCGAAGAGTATATACTGAAAGAAGGTTTGGAAGGTTCCCCGAGTAGACCTAGTAGAAGCAAGCCACGTGAATGAATCAACACCTACAAAACGTTGAAAGAATTACTTCCTGAAGGTTCAATAGTCAGAGAAATTTTTTTCCTCTTTTGGGTAAAACCTAAATTTCAGGAATTTTTTTTTTGAATTTAGCTGTGTCATAATTTTATTTTCGAAGTTTTGGAAAGATTGTTTATAGCAAATATGATAATGCTGTGTTTGTCTCAACGGACATTATTCACCTCGAATGAGCCTATGTAGTTGAATATATCTTTAAGGATCACCAACATATAGCTTTTTCTTTAGCAAAATTAGTCTCAGACAAACAAATATTAGTTAGGGATTTTTTTTTGCAATATAAATTTTTTTAACACTGCTCAAATGACATTCGGAGAACATACTGAAAAATACAGTCAAAGCAATTTCGCTTAATTTTTTTCCTAATTAGCTTTGTCAAAAAATTGTGAGTTATAGGTTGGGTCTAGAAGTTATGCAACTTGCGAATATCGACTTGATTTACACAGAAATCTTGGATTTGGGACCAATAAATGCAAAGTGGTAGTTTTTCCTTTTTTTCAAAAATGCTTTTTTCAACAGCTATGTGCTAAGCTCAGCAGTTGGTGAAGGAAATTCTCTTTATATTTTCGTGCTTTAAAACAAATTTCTTGCGTGCAATACGGAAGCGCGTTTGTTTGACTACTTCAGATTAGGTGGACATACTACTGCAATTTTTTTTCGCCTTAAACAGGAGCATAATTGTCATCAGACTTTTGAGGCTGCCGTCTGTTCCTTATAGTGGAGGCTATAAGAACCGACATGATTAAGTCAAAAGAGACAAATAATTACTTGCTTTTGTTTAGCATGGCGACGCACGAGATCTGACCTACGCATGGGTGACTTTTTTTGCGGTGTATGGTCAGTAATCAACACGGAACTATTGTAAAAGCAACGTATGGCGAATCTAACGTCATAGTTGTGCGTTCCTCTCGTGTCTTGTTAGACGGCGGCTGTATTGTGCGATCAAATGTTCACTACTAGTCTCCGGATTGACTTGTAAGAGGCACGCGCCGAGACCGATGGTTGATGCATCGGTGTGGATGATATAGGGTTTTCCTAGAATAGGAAGCACTAAAACAAGCGCATCCACTAGGGCATGCTTTAATGCTTGGAATGCTATTTCTTACTCCTTGCTCCAAAAAAAACTGCATTTTTTTTTATGCGCAGTTTGTTCAATGGATGGGAAATTGTAGCAAAACGCGGTAAATCTTCAAAAGTACGATCCTGCACTAAGAATGATTTGAGTGCTATTATTATCTGTGAGGCGCGGAATATCACCAAAGCTGTCGAAATTTTTTTTATTGATCTAGACGTGTATCATTTTCATGAAACAACAAACAATATAATTAGTGTTGTGTATAGTATGAATATTTCTAAATATTTCAAAAGGTTTGAAGTGGTTTTGTATTCGACAGCAGAAGGTAAATATTACGATAATATAATTTGCGTAAGATATACGGCAGCGGGACATCGGGCACAACTGTTGTTGTTGGCAGTATAAGTTGCATAAGAACAGACGCTAAGGGGTCATATTGTGCAACTGCTGCTGTTGGACGTATGCCATGATCGTAAAAGATTAGGTTACGCAATTATTAATCCTGTTCCAAGGCTTATCGCGACACAAAGCAGACGTATTTGCACTATCGCAGCTGAAAGGTCATAGCGCTCAAATAATATTAATTTGTCACATAAAAAAAATTTGTCGCGGGTCACATGCTTACAACTTGCGAGGGCAGCTGCGTTGCTCTATAGCCAAAGGGGGTCACCGCGCGCGGACAGTAACACTGGGTTTTGCTGTATTTCCTGAGAGGTCGAAGCATTACGTTTTGTCGACACTTCCCAGCAGAAGTTATCTGCAGTGGGCCAGCAGATTTATCTTTCTGGGTCTAATACTGCAGTTTTTTTAAGCTAGCGATTGCGAACAAGTCCATTGTCTAATTATATTAAAAAAATAAGAAAGTTAACAAAAAATTCACGGAATCACGGTTTCACGGATTCACGGATCACGGATCACGGATTCACGGATCACGGATCACGGCATCACGGATCACGGCTGCTAAATGCGCTTTTTAAATTCACGGATTCACGGATTCACGGAATCACGGATCACGGAAAATGCGAGCGCTTTACGAAAGAAAGAAATTGACAAAATGGGACTGTTCGCAGGACTGTATAAATAATTTTTATTTTATTTTATTTAATAATTTTTTTTTCTTTCTGAAAAGGTTAAATATTTGACTCACACGGAGATTAGGTATTTCACTCACACAGCTAATATATTTGTGCAACATAAAAAAAAACACTCACACACAATTGTTCGTTGGTGACGTCCATAGCGATCGATCGAATTGTAGAAGTGGGAGGAGGGGGGGGGGAATAAATTTTTTTGAAACCCATATCAAAAGTGAAGATGAAAAAAAAATTCTAGAATTCTTAAAAAAAAGGAATCTTCCCTGGGACCTCCATGTCAGGATAAAGGGTTCGCGATTCCCTTACCTGATGTGTAGCGGTACAGGTTGGTATTATATATATTTATTATCTACATATATTACAAGAAAGGGGAAGGGGGAGGACTGACTAAGCAGCCTTACGGTGCGCGGTCGTAGGGGGTCACTGGCTCCTATCTGACCTTCTCGGCCAGCTCACGGGAGAGCAGCAGGCGGAGCTTAGCTGCGCCCCGACACATTCCCAAGCTAGCTTATAGTCACATGAATTTCATGGGTAAAATTGCTGATGTACTCGTGGATGCTGGACATGATGTGGTCAGTTTCTATAAAAGACTTTGTCCATGTTTCGGATGGATTTGGTTCAGTTTGTGAAAGTTTTGGTCCATAGGAAACTCGCTGAATAGATACCGTAGATCAAAACGATAGATGCAGAAAAATCGAATATCTTTAATAACCCCAGAAATTCACATTGTTCAATCTGAAGCTATCTCAGAGAGTAGGAACTTGACTTAGCTTTCCGCTTATGATTATACCTGGTTTCTGGCCCGTGCAGTCTTTGAGGCATTATGCTGAGGCCCATTGGTTCGCAACCGCACCGATCCGTGGCTTTTCATATTTGACTGATTTATTTATTAGGTTATCCCGGAAGTTTTGTTCGTTCTTTTCTTCGCTTCTAATCACTGAACACAAATCCAGGACGACTGGGTACCATTTGATTCAGGTTTTTATCCTCTTTCTCAAAGGCTACATTTGTTCTCTGCGCCATGGCTTTTTGCAGCTCAGCAGTAACGCTAAATCTTTCCTGAATTTCAAAAATTTTTATACTGATGATTTCAAAGAGCTCTGGCAACTGTTATGTGGAACAAGCCTTTGGCTACATTGTGCCCATTTTAGATTACATGGGCCACGTTTACCAAGTCCACTATAATTATTTATTCAATAAAAGCCGCGGCTTTTTGATTACTACCACGTAAAATTTCAAAATGCTGCTTTCTCAGCAAATCAAACTTAGTCGTGTTGCATAAATAATGTTCAATAAAAATCATGTTTCATTTTGCAGGAACTGCAAAAGTCTTCGCACATTTGCTGCAGTTGCGTGTTCCATGACTTTGCCAAAAATGGAGACTCCGAAGAAATATTTTTTTGAAGCTAAAAGCAACATATTAGGAATATATTAGGAATATCTAAAAATTATGCCTTGTAGACCGGGAATTGTTCTTTTGATCCATACTTAGCCCTTCCCGAAACTTTGGAATGAAATTTTCAATTAGCCTGATTTTGAGTAGATAAAATTGACGGGTGGAGGATTTTGGCCATCATTGAAAAAGCACACAAGACTGCGGTTCGAAGATTTATTCGTGAGAAATAGAAGGAAAAGCCGCATCGAATGCATGTTAAAACTCATTCAGGTCTTCATTGCGTGGTTTTATAGTGTTAATATGTTAGTGTTTAGTTTAATGTTTAAATGTGATAATTATTTGGCGCGCTTGAAACATTTCCCTTTCTTTACAGAATTTAATTATTGGGAAGAAGGGGAATTTTTTCCTGAAATGATACCCAGAATGCTTTGCAACCAATGTTCTAGAAGGAATTAATGATTGTACAAAAAGAAGAGAAAAGAATTTTGAAACCAACAAATGGACTAAAATTTTATCTTTGCATGTTTCCAGGTAACATTACAACCTGTGCTTGCGCCAGTTCCGAGCAACGGCACAAAAAAGTCACGACTCATCCAAGTGGATGCCGATCAAAAAATGATCGCTCCAATGTTAGCCAACTTCCAGAAGGATCATGACACCAAATGGAGTGATGACGCTACGAATCCTATGCAATTTTACAGAGTATGTGCTGATACGCATAACCTCAGTAAACTTGCTGGGCACTTTAGATTTTTGTTAATTGTAGTTGCTTTAGGTCGTCCCTATGATACAAGAATACGCTAGAGCCTGTGTGAGGAGTAAGTTGAGGTTTAAACTAGCAAAAATTTCCAGTCACAATCTTCTGCAATTTTCAGCGCTCCTCAATGATGTACAGGTTCTAGAAGAGTTGAAATCCGAGAATTTCGATGTCGGCATTACAGAATTGTTCGACTTCTCTGGCTTTCGTATGTTGAAGTGACTAATCTGTAACTTCTTTGTGAATGTTTTTTTCAGCTGTGTTTGAGGCGATAGGACTAAAGAATATCATTGGTGCACATTCGATTTCGAGTTTGATGGAAGGCACCGCCTATGCTGTGGGTGTCCCAGTAATATCCAGCTATATGCCAGGTATCAATTCAACCCTAAACTGGATCATACCTTAAGAATTCTGCGAACAATGCGTTTTTGACAATTTCTGTTGAGCTAATGTTTCTTTAAAGCAATAAATTAGCTGGATCCTGTACCAACTTCACCTTGTCAGCTCAAACCTTGCAATATCGATCAAGTTGATGAAGGCAACGGATAATTCCGAAGTGGAATGTTGTATTCGTAATCATGCTCACATACCCCTTATAGTAAGTCTCAGCTCCCAGTCCAAAGTTTGAGTAAAGAGTTTCCGAATAAAAATTGATAAAAGCGATAGGCAAAAGTTACAAATGGTTGTTATATCACCAGTCACATACCCCATGTACCAACACTCCGCGGGATGGCTAAGAATGCGCTGATAATCAATGAATAGTGATGTACCAGCCGATAATGAAAGAGAGCCTACGACACACACCCTGCTCTAAAGTGTTGTGTGTAATGTTTGCTCGGATCGGTTTGAAACCGAATTCACCAATCGGAACATACGTACATACCAATGCCTATCGGACAAAGGGAGACGGTGGGGGGAGGGGGTGCGTCATGGGCATAACGCATACTCATTTATCTAATACACAAGAGTGCACCAAAGAAATTAAAAAACTCAGCACAGAACGAACGAAGGGATTGGATCACTGTCCCTTGCTGGATAGATCAGGTCGTTCTCTTTCTCCAAGGGCCACATGCACTAACAACCCCGCTGGGGAGGGGAGCGCAGCTCAGAAGAAAGCTTCATATTCTGAAGCTCCAGATATCTAGATCTCTCGCTGTCTACCTGTCCGCAAGTATTCCTATTATCCTTCACTATGAACATACTGAACAGCAGCGAGAAGCTGTGCAAGCTGCATTTTCCAGCTTTTGTGTGATCCCTGACGATCCCCGGCGCTTTTCTTTGAAATCATTTTTCTTCCTTTTAGTTAACGAAAACCTTACAAAGTTGTACTAATCATCTAACACAACAGTGCTAAACATGTCACTGATGAGAACAAATGAGTTTTTGAAAAATCGAATTTTTCGACACATTTCGACTTGTGGTTCATCGCAAATTTCATGCTCGATACATCACTTGTTATTATCAGCAACATGCTAAGCAGTGTTGGGTTAGATAATCTGCACAACTTTGGAAACTTTTCGTTAACTTTGGAGAAAGAAAAATGACTTCAAAGCAAAGCGCCGGCGATCATCCGGGATCATACAAATGCTGGAAACTGCAGCTTGTACAGCTTCTCGCTGCTGTTCAATGTGTTCATAGTGAAGGATAGTAGGAATACTTACAACTACGTACACAACGTGAAATCCAGATATCTGGAGCTTCAGGATATGAAGCTTTCTTTGAAGCTGCGATCCCCTCCCCGCGGGGTTGTTAGTGCATGCGGTCCCAAGAAATCAGTGGGGCTCAGCCGGGAACCTTTTCCATTTACACGAATGCAGTTATAAGAGCAAAAATTACAGGAGAGTGACGCTGGGCAAACGGAAAGAGCCTCTGGGTACTAGGACCTCATGGTCTAATTTCCTCGAACGTCTGTTCCAAGCTAAGAAAACTTTCCCAAACCGTTCAAAAGATAGTGAACTATAAAAAATGTATGTAAGCATGCAAAATGGCAGTCAAAGTCATTGAAAACCTCTCAAAATCCTCACCACCTTTTGGAAATCATGAGTGGCTTAATCTCCAAACTGAGCATATAGCGGTGACAAAATCAACCTCTGGGTACTGAAGGTGACATATGTCAGTGACGCGAACACCAAGCGCGAAGGCAATCACAAATTCGCACCAAGCACAAGCAGGCAAGGAATACGCCATGCGCGTAAAAGCAAATCCCACATATTTTCGGAGATCTCAGTGACCATTCACTCAAAACGTGTGAATTATTGTTGTAACAGGGGATAAAGCCGAAAAGCCTGCAAAACAAGGGAATAAATCTCGGCAAAACAAAATAAACCAACGAGCCTCGGCAAATAAGAAAATATCAACGAATTCTCAGCGGTCAGCGGTCTCCAATATTCAAAGTTCGCAAAACATTTGTAGATGCTAGTTTTCTGCCAAAATCCTCAGAATTCTTGCAAGAGATTATTTCGCTTGGCAACAGATAAGCCAAAATGCTGTGCGGCAAACGAAAGAATTGGAGACAAGAAAAGCATATCACCTTGAAGCTCTCAAGGACCTACTTACACGCTACAAGCGCCTCTTTTATTAGCCTTCATCGATTTTAACGATTTTTTTTGCAAAGTTCAAGCTGCGGGGGTGGGAGTTGGCACAGGGGTACATGAGCATGCTGACTAGGAATATAACATTAGTTCTCGAAATTATCCATTGTTTTAATCGATTTTATTGATCTTTTGGAAAGTTCGAGCTATGAGGCTAGGAGTTCGCACAGGGGGGGGGGGAGGTAAATAAGCATGCTGATTACGAAAACAAAATGAGGATAGAGAACGCTGGCATGTATTAGCGGTCACGGGGAAAAGCTGTACAGCAATAGGGATGGTCGTAATGATCGTAGTGTTTTGACAGGGCCGGGCGGAGCCGAGTATGCCGCTAGTGCTAATTTTATAATTCTATCTTTCTAGCTTCACAAGGAATCACGGATGACTCCACCTCCATCTCAACTCGCGTTAAAAATATTATCTACACATATCTCTCCTTCCACTTTCAAAATAGCGCAGCAAGAGCTGCAGAAGAAATCATGTTTGAAAAGCTCGGAAAATCTGCCACTCCGATATGGGTAGGTCGTTCTACCATTCAAATGTAGTATAAGCGTAATAAACAGTAATTCAATATTACAGGATACTGTATCAAACATGACATGGTTGCTCACCAATGCTGAGCCGTTGTTTGAATTCGCAAAGCCCACATTGAATAAGATTGTGGATATTGGTGGCATTGGAGTTGATAAGCCAAAGCCCCTCGAGAAGGTGAGCATAACTTAGTGGTTTAATTACCCAAGTTTGAGGTTGATTCACACAAAGGATTGAAGACCAAGAAGACCGATCAGTCGAAGGTTGAGGTTAGTTCCCTTATTATTATTTTCTATCCATACGATCTTCCGTCACTACTGATGATTTCCGGGGAAGTACTCTTATCCTTTTCCGTCTAGTGGAAGGAATGAAACGGAATTGGATATCTTTTGATTTTATTTTATTTTGTTACTTTCTCATTTATTTTAGTTTCCTTATTATCCTTGGTAAGGCAGGCCGATACTCCTCTAGGAGTATAGCATGGCGCGGGCGATCGTCAGTCGCTACGACTGGCGATCGCCAATATCGGCGACAAAAATCGCCGGTTTACTCTATTTGATGCATATCGATCGTCGCCATGCTATACTCCTCGAGGAGTATAGCGCCTGCCTAAGAAATGAAGAAGTGCTGGTGGAGGAATTAACTACTAGAAAGCTCATTCTTTACTTTTTCCTTCAAAGGATTGGGATCGCATCTTAAGCCTGCGTCCTCGAACTATACTCATCTCTTTTGGATCTGTTTTGCGTGGTGTGAATATGCCTGAACTATACAAACAATCCGTCATGAACCTTGTGAAGTCGTAAGTTATTGTGGTTATGTGGTGAAGACCAATATCGTCATTTTATCTCAGCGATCTCGATACCACATTTATTTGGAAGTATGAGGAACCAGAGAATGCAGCATTTGCGGACGGTGTGGACAATCTGATATTGTCGAAGTGGACTCCTCAGACAGACATACTCGGTAACCAAATCGTTGTTGACAAGCTGAGGAAGTAGATAGTAGTCAAATAGAAAAACGTATGGATTTAAGTAATAGAAAAAGAGTACAAGCAGTCGGATCATTTCATGTAATCATGTGTGCATCCGCACATCGTCCATCTTTGGCGTCCTCATCTGGAATTGTAATAGCAAAACGCAGTAGACTGACCGATTGCTATCGCTTACATCATTTTGAGGTGAATAATACCTAAAAAGGAAAGAAAACATTGAAAACACGTCGAAATTCACCTGTCTAAAAGAAATCCTCTTCGAAGAATCCAGGATGGGAAGCCCAAGATGGACGGTGTTTGCAATGCCACACATGATTATACGAAATAATTTGACAGTAAGCAAGTGAGTAAACCGTGAGAAGTGACTTTCAGCAAGGCTGCATATGCAACTTATATTAGTGCGTATGCAACTTATATGTGCTATAGGATCTCCGTCAAAGAACTAAACCAAGCAATAACGTACATTCTGCTGTTCAAGTGCCTCAGAGAATTTCCGGGAACAATTATTTTGAAGCTTCTGCACAAATCAGCAAAAAAGTGAAAATAATTGGCTTCTTGAATTAAGATCAACAATTTATTTCCAGCGGATGATCGTTTGACGCTATTCATCACACACGGTGGTGCTGGCAGCTTGTTCGAAAGTGCCACTTACGGCAAGCCTTTGATTGTCGTCCCGCTATTCGGTGACCAGATTCGTAATGCAAGACTTGTCGAGAAATTCGGTTTCGGTGAGTGCGCCTAGGTAAATAGCCACGCATTTCTTTTTCATTGTAGCTTGGTGTGGGTTGACTAAGCGATCCAGATAGTTTTGATGAGAGAACTATATGATAATAAGAGGAACATGCTCATTAGCTTGCACGCACTGTGCCGCCAAACACCTATTCCCGGCTCTGCATTCAGCTAACAAGGGAAACGTGTTTAGTCAAAGTGGCGTCTTTAAGTGAGACTCATACCACTTTGAAGAGCATCGCACGATGGTTCCAAATCTGCCAAGCTCCTCTGGACGCCGAGCTATGATCATTTTTGGAACGAAAAATATATGCAAAATTTGAGTAAAAACAGTTGTTACAATCTTTCCAGCGCTCAGAAAAAGCAATGTTAAGTATTAGCATATTAGGCAAAGTGAATCCATTGCATGAACTGATCTGATACTCAACACACGACCATTTGAGCAAACTTGGGCAATTTTGCTCCAGTGTGATTCCAAATCTGCTTTCTTTATCTGCCAAGCGCCTCTGGACGCTGAGTCATGGGTGCTATTCGGGTCAAAAAATTGAACGCAATTCAATTTTTTGACCCGAATAGCACCCATGACTCAGCGTCCAGAGGCGCTTGGCAGATAAAGAAAGCAGATTTGGAATCACAGCAATACTCTCCAAAGCAGTATGGGTCTCATCCGAAAAGGCCACTTCGAATATACGCGCTTTCCTTGTAAGATGGAACCGACAAATAGGCGCAGAAATTCACCTACAGGGCTCCTAAATTGCAGAGTCGTTTGCACCAGCGGTCGCGCGACCGCTCGTGCAAACGACTCTGCAATTTAGGAGCCCTGTACGTATTGTATCACGGTTGCAACAGCTATGTTTTTTCAGGACATGCGCGACTGACTGCGATGTCGAAATGAGCAGTTAGAACAGTTTGAGACATGGATCTTTATACTTTCCGTAGATAAATTTCTGCGCTAAGTCTATGAATTTCCACCCTATGCGACTCAAATACGGAGCTGAAAAGAGGCGTTAGCCGACAAAGGAAGTACGAAGTAAATGAATACTTCAAAGGCGGAACGCCAAGCAATAATAAAGTGTATAAAAACCTGTTTGGCACGAGAATGTTTGAAATCATATAATAAGATGTCCAGATTAAAGCCGTATGTACGTACATCCCCGCGGGGGAGGCGAGGGAATCTGAGAAGGGACGCCATATTCTTTTCCTGCCTATCTTTTCTTACCTATCTTATGATTTTGAGTATAGTGTAAGGGTCGCATGCATTAACATCATCGCTGGGGAGGAGATCGCAGCTCAAAAGAAAGCTTCAATTTTAAAGTTCCAGATATCTGGATTTCACGCTGTCTACCTGTCCGCAAGCATTCCTACACGCCTTCACTATGAACACATTGAACAGCAGCGAGAAACTGTACGAGCCGCATTTTCCAGCTTTTGTATGACCCCTGATGATCCTCGGCGGCCGACCGTCTTCTCTTCAAAGTCATTTTTCTTTCTTTGAAGTTAACCAAAAGTTTAAAAAGTTGAACTGTTCATCTAACAGAACAGTGCTAAGCATGTTGCTGATGAGGACAAATGTGTTTTTAAAAAATTGAATTTTTCGGTAATCACCAACTTTCGACTTACGGTTCATCGCAAATATGACTCCGATACATCACTTGTTCTTATCAGCAGCATGCTAAGCACTGTTGGGTTAGATAACCTGCACAACGTTGCAACCTTTTGTTAACTTCGGAGAATAGAACAAAAATGTAAAGAAAAGCGCCGGGGATTACTAGGGAGCATACAAAAGCTGGGAAATGCAGTTTGTACAGCTTCTCGCTGCTGTTCAATGTGTTCATAGTGAAGAATAGTAGGAATACTTGCGACGATAGACTGCGTGAAATCCAGATACCTGGAGCTTCAGAATATGAAGCTTTCTCTCCTAGCTGTGATCCCGTCCCCGCCGGATGTTAATGCATGCGGCCCTAAGGCAGAACATTGCCATACAAACTTAGATTTATTAGGTCGTTACACAAGTCCGTAGCGTTTTTATAAACCAACAAAATCATCAATTTACAGTAAGAATCAATCAAAATTGTATTCCTCGTTGTAGGGCACGACCTATTGGCACATTCTTGTTAGCTTCTCAGGCGCGCCGGGTCCCAATAAAGTCATCTAACCAGCGCTTAAATTACTTACAGAAATCGAGACAGACACCATTCATGAGGTTTGCCAAAGAGCGGAGCAAATAATAATTTGACAGAGCGAGATTTGGAGAGTACTTTGAGTACTGAAGCATCTTACAGTCAAATCGTGCAGGACAGTTCTGACAACGTTTGCCGTATGAGGCCATGTTTCGTCATGCAGAAAAACTCACTGGATCTGTCTGTTAGGCTCCCGCCAGAGTGCCGAAGTTATGCCAGCGCTACGCCAGCATTTCGATCGATACACGTGTAGTTCGTTGGAGCGGGGCTAGCTGAGGGTTAACGAAATACAAGTGTATCGATTGAAATGCTGGCGTAGCGCTGGCATAACTTCGGCACTCTGGCGGGAGCCTTAGGCTTTTTCTGCGGTAGGACCTGGTGCTTACGGTATGGTTGACCATCGCCTACCTGTACAGCAATTTTCGGTGCAAGACGTCCTGGGCGTCCTCCGAAAAAGTCTTGTTCAGGGACACCCTGCTCAGCCCCTGATCTTTTGTAGCAACCCAATCCTATTTTGTCTCATATTAATGTGCGAGTGCCATATTCCATAATCGACACAAAAACCTGTGCAAAAGCGCTTCTTTTCATAAGGAAAAATGCGCAAATGCCGAAATTGCTCCCTTTTGCCTTTCAAGATTTCCATCTTTGGGAGCTGCGAGATCCGAGTGAATCAGTTTTCCGCCGAAATCGGTAGAAGTATTTCAAGGAGCACAATCAGCCCTTGCAAATGATATACGCATTTTGCCGCAAATCAACCGCTCCTCAAAGATATGAGGATGAAAATGAAAACGCTACGAACTTATGGAACGACCTAATACAATGCTTCATGTGATTCCCTAAAGAATCCTCAGAGGATCACGTCACATAGTTATTTAGCTTTCCACACGCGATGAAAATGCTGCAAAATTGTATGGAGGATAGACTACGGCACTGCAAACATGTTTATAACAAAAATTATTGAATTCTCAGTATAATCTTTGATGAACCACTTCTCGCAAGTTGAGGTTCACCAAAAAACTCACATCTGCACAAACCAATTGTTTTGTCGAAAACATTCGCAGCAGTGCCGTAGTAGATCACCAGTACAACTTTACGACGTTTTCATCAACTTCCTACAAAGACAGACGATTTTGAAAACAAAGGCTGATCCCCTTGGGAACCCAGGGATCACATAAAACAGTGAAGATCTCACAAGGGAACTTTTTAGTCGAAGTGGCCTTTCCACTTGCACCTTATATCACTTTGTAGAGCATCAAACGATGACTTAGAATCTGGCTTCCTCTTTGGCTACTCTCCGAAAGAGGTTATGAACATCTGAAGTCCAAATTTGTCATGCTATGTGTGGCATCAACAAAAAGCTGCACTAAAACAGCTGAAAATAGGTAAACCCAATTTGTTCAGGTATATCGATTACTAGAGAATATGGCCTGTGGAAACTGCAAAGGCATTTTGTACAGCTTTCCGCTAATTTTATGCCACTAAAAACTATACGGATTAGACTTTTAACGACTCGTAACTTCCTTCGCATAGCTGTTCCGTAGAAAAGGAATACAGATTTGAAATGCCCCTTCAATGCTCTACCAAGGTATATCGGTTTCACGTGGAAAAGTCATTTCGACCAAAAAAGGTTTCCTTGTCAGCTCGTGTGGGTGGCAATGTCGTGCCATCCTTTGTACTCAAACGTCAGGGTAAAGGAACCTTTATAACATAACCAGAAAAAGAGAATACCGATATCTAAAGTAGCGAAGTATGACGCAGTATGACGCGCCTCTCACAAGGGAAGTTCGCTTGGTCGAAGTGGCGAATCGGAATAGGATCTATATCAGCGGACAGAGCTTGAAACGCTGAACTCAATTATACCTTCTGTATCTGCGACGCGTTTTTCCATAAGAAATCAAGAGCTTTTCTGCATTTATGATGGAAGTGTGGTCTAAAAAGGAAATGACGACCTGTGGACAAAAACATGGCAGGACAACACTCGAACGTTTAGGCATATCAAATTAGACCTAGAATGCATTAGGTAATTTCTTCATTACATACTTTTACGTGGGAATTACCATAATTTTGCGATTCAAAATGTGCGTACATTTAACATAAAAAAAGCCCATAACTTTTTCCAGAATAATGCTTCGCAGATATAGAAGGTATATCTCAGATCAGCGCTTTAAGCTCTATCCGCTGGTATAAATCATCTTCCCAATCGCCACTTCGACTAAGTGAACTTCGCTTGTCAGACCCCCTGCACTCCCAACGGGGACGTAGGTGCATAGGGAGTAAAAGGAATGGAGAGCTTCTAACACAATGTATACATACTTTTGAGACACTCTATTAATGTAAATTTCTAGCATTCATTCTTGGTTTGCGTTGCCTCCAATACTTCTTGTTCAAGAATGATCTTCTAGCCTTATTCCTGTTTCTTCCATGCTAATCTTTGTAAGCGGCTTCAGTATCTTGTCTCAACTTCTACTTACGTACTCTCTTTCTCTCTGCGGCAGCAGCTCACCTGAAATATCTTCTTTAGGCATGATGCTGGATAAATCGAATCTCGACAACGTCGATGCATTGCGGCTAGCTGTCGAAACATTTCTTGGAAACAAAAAGTTGGTTGATATCCTCTTGTAGTTAGCATTTCACTTCATAAGGTGTACAGCCTCCTACGGTTCTAGACCTTACGAAGTTGTGCTAGTACAGTTGCTCTGCTTAAGGTACATCGCCGCAGCTCATCGAATCCGTGATATTCTTGCCAAACGACCGTTCTCTCCTGAAGAGAAATTAGTAAAAACTGTGGAGCTGGCTGCCGAGTTTGGCCATATGCCTGAATCTCTTGTTGCAGGACGAAAGCTCAACTTTATAGTGTATCACAATATTGACATTCTTCTGTTGTTCACAGGATTTTGTATACTTTCGTTTCTCTGCCTCTTGTATATTGCAAAAAGGCTTCTGAAGATTGTCAAAGTTGAGAAAATTAAGACATATTAGTGTTCTATTAAGTATTATTGTTATATGGATTGTAAATAATGATTGTGAGGGACTACTATTTTTTATCCACTACCCTTGTTGAATAATAACTTGAAGTGCATTATAAAACCGTTGTTAGCCCTTTATCAAATCATCTCGAGTGTGCCTTAGTCTTAATGAGAAAATAACTTTTACTATGCATTGGTTCAAGCTAATGTCATCACAAATCTCTAATGCAGCTATAAGGCTGTCGCTATCAACAAATCTTTGTCTAATGTTCCATAACTGTACAATAAATCTTGTTATACAATATTTCGTTTTGACACAGTACCTAATGGAACATGCAAAATTCCGGCAATGTTGCGGAGTTCCAGAAAATTCGCAGAATCACGCGAATCACGCAACTACGCAGCGCCATAACTTCCTTCAGAATGAATATATTCTGGATCCGAAAGCGTTGTGCTCTTAGACCATCAAGGCAAATCTTTTGATGTACAGCATGTCCTCGTTATTCCGTAATCAGTTTTCTCAAAATGTTTGCGGACTTCAGTTCGCAAGGATGTAACACAGCGCACATAACACGTAAAAGATTCCAATAAAAAAAAGAATGGCTCCGGCTGCTTTTTAAGGCACGATAATCTATAGAAACAGCACTAAATAGTGCTCACTGAAATTCCTATGTGTGATATGCGCTGCGTTACATCCTTGCGAAAATATGTTTGCACAAAATTGGAAAACTAGAAACGGATTATAAAGGACATGCTGTGTATCGCAAAATTTGTCTTGGTGAGCTGAGCGTAACGCTTTTTCTAGGTTCAGGATTATACTCATTCCGAAAGAATATGGCGCTGCGTAGTTTGCATGAATCGCTTGATTTCGCGAAAATTCCCTGAATTCCGCGACTTTTACGGAAATTTTGCACGTTCTATGAGCGGTATTTTACGAGGACAAAATCACTACCCCTATTTAGAGAAAAATCCTAGACGTTGATTAATGAAGCAGCAGCACTGATCCTAATCAACACGAGCAATAAAGCTTTGCCGGAGTATACCATTATCTGTTTTCTGCCTTATCCACTGTTCTACCAGATTACGAGATTCTCCTTCATTTAGATCATTGAGGTGATGTTCAAGCTTCCGTAAATGCAAAAAAGGATGGTGTGCACCAAGAGAGTGGAGAAGAGTTGTAAGGATTATTCACTCACAAAGAAGTGGATTAGTTGAGAGTGATCGAGGTATTTCAGTCTGAACCGAAGTAGAACCTTCAATGCATTCGCGGCTTATTATATACCAAGGAGCGGAGCCCGGCGATGTAAAATTTAGAGTTTAATAGTTGATAATGCAGAAATCATCAAAAAAAGGATACTTGTATGCAATTCCACAACATTGAGAAGCGGCCACCTTTGGAATAGTGTGAGAAGCATACTAGCTAATGCTTGTATGCGCTTCACACTACTATGCTCCAGTGGCGACCCCCGCCCCCACCCCCAGAAAATGGGCCGTGAACAGGGTAAAGCGTAAGGTGTGGCGCGCCACACCTGGGGGTCGTACTGAGGAGTCAGAAAAGGAAGGGCGTCGTAGTCGAATACTAATAGCGAAATATGATATTGGTGAATAGTTCGCCAGGTAATCCCAGTTATGCGAAAAAAAAAATGGCTGTGGCTGCCACACCTTTTTAGGGGTTGTGCCACACCTCAAAATTCATCTTCAAAACATTCAGGCATCCGTTTTTTTATGTCTTCGCTATCGCTAAACCTTCTCCTTTACACTGTATATATTCCATTCCAAATTTTTCTTCTAGGAAATGATATAATCGTTGACTTTGTGTTTTTGATTTTGTGCCAGAGAGGTTTTTATGGTAGACCTTTATTGCCTAACGTTTTCGACAAATATCGTCTTCTTCGGAGGCCTGAAAGGGAGTGCAGTTTTGTATTCGTCAGTCTATACGACCAAACGCCTCTTCTAACTTGCGGTGTTTAGACCTTGTCTAGGCTCAACGTACTGGAAAACAATCTGAAGTGGAGTCACCAACCTTCAGTCCACCGTGGAGTTAGTAGTCCGCACGACTGTGACGGACATCACTGAGGGGTGCTCAGTGAGTCAAAGCTATATATACAGTCTGCGGTTATAGATGACATAATGATATGAAGGGCAGGAGGTCACTGGTCATTGTCAAGCATTCATTTTTATTATTCATCCCCGGATTTCCGGCGGATATCCATGCTGCCTCTATTGTCTTTCTTGCCGAAATTTCAGTCTCAAACGCTAATATCGTGCATTTTACATTGAAATCGTCGCCTTTATGTGCCTCGACTCTATGTCTTCCTAATGGTAATGACATTGTACCCCGCTTTTTGCTGGCCAGATGTTCCTTCAATCTAACACTTGGTATCCTTCCGGTTTCTCCTATATGTATAAGTTGTTCCACAACTTAAGCACTTTAACTGGTAAACAATACCCTGCTTTGCACAATCACCTAACTTACCGTATGGGCAAACGATGCAGTTTTCAGATATACAGTCTGTACCATACAATCTATTTCTGACCAACCGCTTTCTGATAGTATTGCTAGGAATGGTGACCAGCATTACTTCGTTCTGCAACTGTGCTCGTGCTATGCATCGTTCAATGGCCACACTAAATCTGTCGGATACAAAAAGCATGCAAAGCGGAATTTTGTTGCCGTTGCTCCGCCTAGATTCGTTTACGTATTCAGATAGTCTTTGCCGTGAATGCGTTATGTATCCATTGCTGCGAGCAACTTTGCGTGCTAGTTGTAGTGACTCTAATTGTTCGCTCTCGCCCGTGCAGACTTCTGCAGCGGTTTTGTACATGTTATGGATTATGGAACGCTTTAGAGCTGTAGGATGCGCTGACGTGGCGTGGACAAGGATGTTTTTGGAGCTTTCTTTTCTGTACCACTTGATTCGAACTGTGCCGTCAGACAATTCACCTGGGTGTTTAAAAAAGAAAGCCAGCCTTTGTGCGAGGTTTCTCGTGTAAGCTTTATGTACTGGGACTGCTGATTTAATATTCTAAAACATTCGTCCATTTCGGACTGTGTTGAGGTGATAACGCAGCAGTCGTCGATATAGCGACAGTACATTGATGGCAAGCGTGCTAATACTGGCTCCTCGATTGTGCAAAGCAGGGTATTGTTTTACCAGTTAGAGTGCTTAAGTTGTGGAACAACTTATACAGGAGAAACCGGAAGGATACTAAGTGTTAGATTAAAGGAACATCTGGCCAGCAAAAAGCGGGGTACAATGTCATTACCATTAGGAAGACATAGAGTCGAGGCACATAAAGGCGACGATTTCAATGTAAAATGCACGATATTAGCGTTTGAGACTGAAATTTCGGCAAGAAAGACAATAGAGGCAGCATGGATATCCGCCGGAAATCCGGGGATGAATAATAAAAATGAATGCTTGACAATGACCAGTGACCTCCTGCCCTTCATATCATTATGTCATCTATAACCGCAGACTGTATATATAGCTTTGACTCACTGAGCACCCCTCAGTGATGTCCGTCACAGTCGTGCGGACTACTAACTCCACGGTGGACTGAAGGTTGGTGACTCCACTTCAGATTGTTTTCCAGTACGTTGAGCCTAGACAAGGTCTAAACACCGCAAGTTAGAAGAGGCATTTGGTCGTATAGACTGACGAATACAAAACTGCAATCCCTTTCAGGCCTCCGACGAAGACGATATTTGTCGAAACGTTAGGCAATAAAGGTCCACCATAAAAACCTCTCTGGCACAAAATCAAAAACACAAAGTCAACTAAATGCCGAGGTTCAAAGAAGAGAGCACTTGAAAAAATGATATAATCGCTTTTCCTTACCTATGCAAATGGAAAAAATGCGAAAATATTAGGTTACGGTAACGTGCTCTGCTACATGAAGCGCGAGGCAAGGTGGCGGCAAGAATATATAGTTCGTTCGTGGACCGCACGAACTGGACTCCACTGCGGAGAACGCGTCGTGAGCTAAAAGCTTGCTCCAGTACAAATTCGCCATTGTTCAAGTTGTGCTTTCAAATATTCGCGCCGCGCGTGTTCCGCAGGGTTTGAGCAGTTCGTGCGGTCAACGAATCAACGATAGGTAGTCTAGACCTCGTAATGTTACAAAAGTGATTTGATCCTGATTTTTTTTCATTCTAGTGTGAGATATTGAAAGCGAAACGGGTTTAACGAGATTTTGGCTTGCTTCATTCTACTGTTTGGCGAATTTTAAAAGCGGTGTTTCTTGGACAAAGAGGGAGTAGTGCTTTCTATGAGTGCAAAAAGAAAGGTAGCTACAGCAGTTCGTTTCTACCCGTAATAGGCGAAACTTTTAACATGGAGCAGCGCGTCCGCTTCTCTGGAGGCTTTGCGAGCGCACAACGCTGGCATTTTGACAAGCAAAGAGTGAGGAGAATGAAGGGACGCAGACATGGGTTCCTAGCACGATGTGATACTGTAGCTACGAAACGGCGCGAACTGTTGCGAAGCGGACGCCCGCCAATCCAATTTCCGCCTAAGCTGGGCTGAAACTTACTATAGCTCACTTCTGGTTGATTATGTTCGAAAATGACCATTTCACTAGGTGGCCTAGTAATTGCAAACTTCGGAATTCACTCAAACTTGGTCCACAAAGACTATTTGACATGCTAATTATGTATATATCACTCATTATGCTTGGTGGGGCCTTTGTGTTATGCCTATCTTAGGTTTTCAGTAGTTCAAGGGGTCTTATTGAGATAGCAATTGGGGGAGGGGGGGGAGGGGGTATCTAACGATTGTGTACCACCAGCGCCCGGCACGTGTTCCTTTCTAGGCTCTTTGGAAACGAAGTCCCCCCCCCCTATACGAAGTCACCTTTGACCCTTGCTATCCCCCCCCCCCCCCCCCCACTCTCCGACTGTCAGTGGATCAGATAATGAACATAAAAATTCCAAAACGAGGCATAGC